AGGTTGTCTCGATGATGGTCTAAGGGAGGGTACTTACCTTATGGTCGAGGGTCTGGAAACCGCGACGCGCATAGTGAGTGCGCAAGGTGCCAGCCAGTGCAGTCACCGCGTCAGCAGAGCGTTCGAATAACGCATGATAGAACTCCAGGAGGTCTATGGAGACAGCGGTGCGAGGGTGGGAGGGAGAAACTGGAAAGAGGCCATGATGCACAAGGACCTGGGGGATACTATAACACCGACAGGCCTTGACATCAATGGCAATTAGATCTATGAATCTTATTATTCGTACATTGAGAGGGGACATGAACTACGACTTACGGCTCCAGTACAAGCACAAGATATTCACTCCTCGGGTGCTGCAGGACGAGGCCTCGCAGAACAGTTCGACCCGAGTGCACGAGGTTGAAGGTTGCCGGTACGATGTCTGCATATATTGGAGGAGAGCCGGGACTAGCTTGGGAATGAGAGCACGCCACTGGTCGAATGTTTTGTGCGCCTCTGCATCGGGTAGCAGCCGTTTGCTACGCTTGGCTGGGGGTGAGGCATCCGATGGCTCCTGGACAGGGATTTCCTGTTCAAAGGGTTCGGGTTCAAGATCAGGTGGTAGGGCGTCCTCGGGAGGGGGGGGGGAGTAGAAGCATGAGATTCTAAAGCACGCAGACGGGCTAGCAGTGCCAATGTACGAGTATCACCTGGACGACTAACTAAGACCTGATCTTTTTTGCCCCCGAGCCGACGTTTTTGGGGGGTCAAAAAGTGCGCCCCTGTGCGGGGGATGACCTTCTGGTTATCGCGCGTCCTCGGTGGCTGCGATCGGGGGGGTGTCGCAGGACATGGGAGCAGGTCGTCGCCAATCTGGAGAGTACTAGATGGCGGCATGGTGAAAGCGAGAATATAGCCAGGCGAGAGAGCATAGGAGCTAATTTGAAATAGCAAAGACATGGCATCAAGATGTAGACAGGTACAAATATGGCGAGGGTACACAGAGGCTGGGGATGGTGGAGCGTCCTAAGGTACGGCGGAGGAGTGTCCCAAGGAGGGCGGGCGGGCGTCTAACCCGCCTCGAGGGTGCGATCAGGCACATGCCTATATCCATATCGGGATATAGGCCCTGATCTCCCCCTGGGGATGGTGTTCGTTAGACCCATTTCCCACCGCCCCGATGGGGGTCTACTAGATACCTCCAGGACCTGCCCTAGGTGGACAATGGAGTCCTTGGAGTCCCTCGAACCCAGGTGTTGCATGGCTGACTTCCTGGAAACCAATCCGCCTGAGAGCATATCAATAACCGAAACTGATGCAAGAGGATTCTGCCATACCCTCTATAACATCCCTCCAGTTCATCGAAGGTATGTATACAGAGTCACCTGGTCGGTTATCCAGTGACATGATCACATCAATGCATAGCTCAGAAACTTGCTTCGCACTGACTCCAAGAGCTTTGTACTGGCTGACAGTTAATAACTGTGCACTATTCTGCCTGATTATGACACTGGATGTACCTTCTCTAAAGAAGCATTGTGGGTATTAGAAAGGGACATACTGCGAACAAAGATACCAGCATCAATCTGTCGGAAATATCAATGAGAGCAATGTTGACTTTCGCCTGAGGATGAGATGAGGGGAGTGGGAATGTGGACGCGAGCGAGCAAAATGGGCGGATTGTTACAAAGGCGTGGGGGCCAGGTACGGCTGCGCTACGATACAAGTACTCTACAGGATTGATGTATTTTACTTGGCAATCGTGCTATGATCATTCTCCCGGCTAGGCACAGGGGCATCGGATCGGCCCGCTCGACACCGCAGGCTCCAAAATCTAACAAGCAAGTCCTTATGATCATGGTGTCGCGACTTGAGGTCAAGCGACTGAGGAAAACTTATGGCTGGGGGCGTCCAACTGATTCTCACCGAAGCGATGGTGAGCGATGCTCAAACCTAAGGCTAGGGACAAGTAAGTTAGCATAGGAAAGTAAGTATGTACAGGGGCTTACTGACCTAGGGACAAGAGGTCAAAACTGAGGTCCCTAGGGCAGCAGAGGCAGGCTTATATATAGGGGATGTTTAGGGGAGGCTGTGCGCACTGGTCCGTGTGCAGCTGGTCCGTGCACAGCATGCTGACGCGGCCCCGGGGGCCGGTGAGTCAGAGAGGCTGTGTCAGCGGAGCCCGAGCTGTGCCGTGCACTGCTGCCCCATCTAATCTAATTGTACAGTAGATATGATGTGTCCATATCAGGCATGTAGTACAGAGGTCGCGGGTTCGAGCCTGCAAAAAGGAAAAAATTAAAAAATGGCTAGACGCCGTGTCAACTCGTGACACATGATGCACCTACGATTGGTGGAACAGCTATAGAAATTGTATTTGGAAGTTCAGCTCCGATTCTCTCCATCAGAGTCTGTGCTGCAGCATAGTTCGCTTGTCCTAAGGTACTTGAGATAAGAGATGGCAGAAAGCTAAAGCAACTCCTACCTGGTGAGCCGGCGACAGCAGCCATGTAACTTGCAAGTAGGAGAAAGTCGAGTGATTCGGGGTTAATGATGTCCAGCCAAACCCGCAGGCCTTTTACTTTGACGCCATGTACTATAAATTGGGAATACTCGACTTTGGTCACATAAGGAACATGAGGCTTTTGACGCACCCGAGTTCCAATCCTCATTCATCCTCAAATTGATGAAAAGCTGGTTGTTCAGTTTCACAGGTAAGAAGAAAACACCTGCGACGGGATGAGGAAGACAATGAAAGAGCTCTTTGGTCTTGTGACTATCTAGGTAGTCAACAGCGACAACATCCACTGTGACGGCAGGAAGACGGCAGAGGTAATCAACAATACGCTTCTCGCGGACAAGTCTCCATTGCTCAAACACCTGTTGAGCACAAATTGTTGCCCGCTGCGCTCAGCTTGTTTCCAAGTTAATACACAAGAACTGGCTTGCCTTTTCTCCGGACCTAGAGGTGAGAACAATATGCCTGGCTTCGCTCTCAACCAATGTTCTGGCAATGTTGACACCGAGTCCTCCAACGCCTCCGATAATGACATAGGATGCGCGAGGATTGAACATATAGGTACTGTTACGAGTTGGCACGGCGCCTAGCCATTTTTTAATTTTTCCTTTTCGCGGGCTCAAACCCGCGACCTCTGTACTACATACCAGATATGGACATGACACTATCTACTGTACAATTAGATTAGATGGGACGGCAGTGCACGGCACAGCTCGGGCTCCGCTGACACAGCCGCTCTGACTCACCGGCCCCTGTGGCCGTGTCGGCATGCTGCGCACAGACCAGCTACGCACGGACCAGCACGCACAGCCTGCCCTTATCTTCCCCTGTATATAAGCCGGCCTCTGCTGCCCTAGGGACCTCAGTTTCAACCTCTTGTCCCTAGGTCAGTAAGCTCTCATGTACCTGCTTACTTACCCATACTAACTAATACATTTACTTGTCCCTAGCCTTAGGTTTGAGCCTCGCTCACCATCGCTTCGGTGAGAACCAGTCGAACACCCCTTGCTTTCAGATATTCCCCTGTCGCTTGACCTCAAGTCGTGACATTAGGTCGAAACTCCCCCAAGCGACCGGCGTTCTCTCGGAACCCACATACTCACACTTTCCTTTCCCATAGGTCGGGTGGTGCGCACCCATACAATACATTACGATACGTAGATAGTGTACTATACATCGCAACCACTAAGGGAACAAACTCTTCAGTACCTGCACTTCAGTGGGTGGTACTTGTCCTCACGGATGTGTGGATTAGGTTCCTGCTGCATAATAGTCAAAAGTAGTACTGGGCCCCATGTGAACTGCGAACCCTAGTGTCTTCTCGGGCACTGTAACATAAGCTAGGATAGTACGGCCATTGTAGTATGCGCACCTCCCCGTCCTTCCCCCATCCATCGTGGCTGCCTGTCAAGGCCAGGTCCACGCATTCGACTCTCAGGATCTCATCGACGTCTACCTCCCAGACGGCCCTGAGCCTGCACTCTATCGTTGCGAGCAGCAGCCGTGCCCAAACCGAACACCCCGATCGATCACAGAGGACTACCCGCGCTACAAAGCGATCCGACGAGCGCAACACCCGCTCAGACCCCGAAGCACCCTCGCATCTCGATCAGCCTCACGGCACTCTCGCCCTGTCTCCCCTAGCTCCCGCCTCCCTCAAACTGTTGCCGATCAAGTACGAGGAGATCTCCCTCCAGACTCTGCGCCAGAGCCTGAGCCTGAGGAGGGTGAGAGTGAAGAAGGAGTCTCGGAGTCCGAGTCCGCAGATTCTGCTTGGCCCACCTTGCCGACAGCGCTCGCCCCCGCGTCAGCAGTCCCTGACGTACATGACCCCCCCACTGAACTTTCTCCGGCGCCTTCACCGCCAACTCCGCCGAGAGGCCGCTCGAGCACTCACTCCTCTCGAAGTTCGACCAGCGGAGGGTCACCACAGCCGCCTCCGCCCCCGCAACGTCCTCCGTCCCCCCCAATGCCGATAATGTTGTCCCCCGCAGCCGCCCCCAACAAGGAGACTTTGAAGCTCCTCCTCCCACTCTGATACGATGGCAAAACCGTCATCGAGTGCGACAGGTTTCTGTCGCAGCTGCGCATCTACTGGTTGGTTAACACATTGTTGACCACCATTGAGCTTAAGGTGCAGGTCGCACTAAGCCTGCTTGACGGAGACGCCTGCACCTGGGCCACTCCCTACTTTGCCCAGCTCATGTCAGTGCAGATAGGAGCACAAGGGGCCACGACCCCGTTCAGGAACAAAGCGGCCTTTGCCGCCGCCTTCAAGGCCCGCTTTGGAAATCTCGACGACGAGGTGGCAGCACAAGTAGAGTTGGCAAAGCTCTGCGCGGACAAGTCGGTCCGCAAAAAACACACCGCCGCGGAGTTCTCCACACTATTCAAGGGTCCGGCGGATCACTCTGGGTATGGGGACCTGGAGCTATGCGACAAGTACCTGAGCGGCATCCCCTCCCGCATGTACCGGAAGATCGAGCTCGAGACCTTCACCACGTGGCAAGCAGCTGAGAAGCACGCCACCGAGGTCGAGCAGATCCTCGACATCAGCTAGGCCCATCGGCCCGAGTTGAATAACTTCTTCTCGACCCGAGGTCGAGGACACAGAGGGGCACGTGGTGGTGCACCCCAATCCCACGCAGCTTTGGCCAGCATCAACGCAGCCGTCGGAAAAGGCAACTTCCCTAGCACTTGCTTTGGCTGTGGGAAGCAAGGGTACTGACGCTTTGAGTGCCTCAATTGTAAGGACAAGCCTTACACAAAATGCGCCGACGCGCGGACTACAGTTGCCTCGGGCTCTACCCAGGCTGCGACAAGCGCCCCCATCGCAACAACACCCTTGGCAAGTATAAGTGCCGCTTCAGCGAAATCCGAGCAATCGGAGCTGGCGGACTTAATGGCACAGGTGAAGTCGATGCGCAAGGAGCTCGAACACTACCGGGCGATCAAGGAGGAGGGTTTTTGATCCGGTCCGCGCTTTGTGCTGCACGCGTCGGGCCGCGAGTATCATGTAACAAGTACGATATATTGTCTTCTGCAATGGTGTACGAGTTGGACCAGGGGTCCCAACATTTTCACATCCCAGTACGACTTCAAGGAAAAAGACGGCATAAAGACATAATCGCTATGGTGGACAGCGGAGCCACTACGAAGTTTATCAACAAGCGATTCATTGAAGAAAATAAGGTGCAGACGCGGAAGCTAAAAGAGCCGATTCCGCTCTACAATATCGATGGCACCCTCAACAAAGACAGAAGCATCTCGGAAGTAGCTGTGCTACAGATGCAAATAGGAGAACACGTCGAGAAGATGGTGTTTATGGTCATGGACATCGGTCCAGAAGATGTGATCATTGGGTTGAATTGGCTATAAGAGCACAACCCTGAGATCAATTGGGAGTCAGGCTCCCTAAAATTATCACGATGCCCTGAAATGTGCAGTGCCAGGAAGGCTGGCCGAATGGAGAAAGCTGCGACTGTGCATGATACGGGGGTCAGGCCCACGGCATGCAGACGTTCGCCGAAGTCCAAACGGTCGGTTATAGGCACTTGCCGGAGTAAGGTACTCCCGGACTTCGAACCCGAAGAAGATACGGTGGAAGTAGAGTGGGACGAGGCCAATCTGATCGAAGCCTGGGAGCAAGGTATCACGCTTCCTGGCGCTCCTCAGCTGTTTGTCGCAGCAGGGCATACGTACTCCCAGCTGTTCACTGAGGAAGAGATCAAGAAGAAGGTTGTTAAGACCGCCAAGGAGTTGGTACCTAAACAGTACCACGAGTTCCTGAATGTCTTCTCCAAAGAAGCATCAGAACGGCTACCTGAAAGGAAGCCTTACGATCACACGATCGAACTCGTACCCGGCTACTCGACATTCCACTCTAAGGTGTATCCTTGGTCGAACAACGAGCAGGAGGAACTAGACAAGTTCCTAAAGGAGCAACTAGCGAAAGGCTACATACGGGAGTCGAAGTCGCCCATTTTGTCCCCCTTCTTCTTCATCAAAAAGAAGGAAGGGACGCTTCGACCCGTACAGGACTACCGCCGGTTGAACGTGATCACCGTCAAAAATCGCTACCCTTTGCCGCTTATCGCCGAGATGGTAGATAAGCTCCGCAGTGCCACGCTTTTCACAAAGTTCGATGTCCAATGGGGATACAATAATGTCCGGATCAAAGCCGGTAACGAGTGGAAAGTGGCTTTTGTGACTAACCGGGGGCTGTACGAACCCCTGGTAATGTTCTTCGGTCTCACCAACTCCCCTGTGACCTTCCAGGCAATGATGAACGAGATCTTCCACGATCTCATCGTCGGCGGCAAGATCCTCGTGTACCTAGACAATATACTCATATTCTCCACCAACAAAGAGGAGCATGAGAAGGTCACACACGAGGTTCTGCGCCGCCTTCAGGACAATGATCTGTTCCTGAAGCCTGAGAAGTGCGAGTGGGACGTTCCCAAGGTCGACTACATCGGCTATGTGTTCGGTGGCGATGAGGTAGCAATGGATCCCGCGAAGCTAAAAGGAATTAATGAGTGGCCGGTACCCCGGAACAAGAAAGATGTTCAGAAGTTCCGGGGGTTCTCCAACTTCTACCGCCGCTTTATCAAAGACTTCGCTAAGATCTTGCGACCACTCGACCAGCTCACAGGAAATGACCCATGGCACTAGGGCGAGGAAGAGCAGCACGCCTTTGATGAACTCAAGCGGCTCTTCGTGACTACTCCAGTCTTGGCGCTATATGACCCTAACCGGGAGACGCACATTGAGGTTGACGCCTCGGGCTATGCCACTGGCGGCGTGTTGATGCAGAAGCAGGACAATGGCAAATGGCACCCTATTGCCTTCAGATCCCATGCGATGGATCCAGCACAGCGGAACTACAAGATCTATGATAAGGAGATGCTCGCAATCATCGAGGCACTAGATGATTGGTGCCACTATCTCGAGGGGTTACCCAATCAATTCGAGATTGTAACCAATCACAAGAACCTCGAGTACTGGCACACGTCCCAGCATCTCACGCGTTGCCAAGCGCGCTGGTCGCTGTTTCTGGCCCGCTTCGACTTCCGCATCACGCATAAGGCCGGGACGTCCAATGGAAAAGCTGATGCCCTGTCACGTCGATCAGACCATCAGATCGGCGATGAGGACGATAACACCGATCAGGTGGTTCTCAAACCTGAAAGGTTCTGCATCGCCTCTGCCAGGCGCGGTCATGCCTCGGTGACAGCCGATCAGTCGCTTCTGAAGCGCATCAGAGAGTGCTCGGAGAAGGATCGGGAGGTGGCCAAGGCACTTGAAAAGGTGCAGGACCTCGGGCCACCCCGGCTGCAAAGGGGTTTTGAGGAGTGGAATGCCGAACAAGGGCTTCTGCTGTTCCGCGGGTGCGTGTACGTCCCAAAGAATGCAGAGCTCCGGCGGGATATCGTCAAGATCCACCACAACTCGCCGATTGCCGGACATGGCGGTCGTGTCAAAACCCTCGAGCTCATGTCGCGGAATTACTGGTGGCCTGGGATGTCCAAATTTGTCAACAAGTACGTAAGCACCTGCAACGTGTGCAACCATACCAAGACATTCCCAGCCAAGCCCCAGGGTCCGCTGAAGCCAAACGAGTATCACAAAACCTATAAACCCACCTTATAGCTTGATGGTAAGGGGGGGAGATAAAGCACTTAAGTGTGGGGGAGGTAATGCTGTTAAGCGCAACAACGAAGTGAATAGAACTGGGGGACAGGGTGCCCCAGGATGCTGCCTTATATACATGAGGGAAAACCCCCCAGGGACTGGTAATGGACCCCTGGTATCTAGCTGGGTAAGGATTACTAAGTATCATGTGCTTTATGATGTCATATATGATGTCATAGTCTGGCCCTGCCCTGCCCTGGGCCTAGGGTCCAGAATTGACTGGCCTATGGCCTAGTGCCTGAGCCTAGCTCCTACCTATGATGTCAGAATGATGTCATGGTCCAGACAGAGTCTGGTTTCTATCTAGAAAAGGTCCGGCATCAGAGTCCAGCCTGATGTGTCCAGAACAAGATCATGTGTCGCTTATTTAAGCGGATAACCCCTTAGATATGCAGCTGTACCCATATGCGG